GAAGAAATCGTTAATACAATTATTTATCCTAATTGGTTGTAAAACCTGGCTTTGGATGCTAATTATGTGTGAGGTCTCAGGTTCGGTTTCCGGGTCGGACCAAATGTTTGTACGATCTCCAAATATTTGTTTCAGAGTTTGAGTGTTTTCTATGTATAATATGTATGTATTCACAAACTCTTACTTACTCAGCTAAAGTATGTTTTTTATCCACTATCTACCTCATTGTTTCATGAATAATTTCATCTACCTACATACAATCAATATATAAATATACTCACGACTTGTATCTCCAAATGGTGGACAGGGGTGTATTTACCGCCAATATTTTGGTGATTATAAATTTGGGTCCCACTCACGTCTACTGAGGTCTCGGGTTCGATTCCAACTAGTTGTAGGTTAGGTCTAATTAAAGTAAGATAATATCAGTATTTGTCTTAAACTACACTTTTTTATTTCACAACCTCTCATTAAAACGAATTCCTGCAAAACTCAGTTGCACTCCATAAACTACGAACTCATTGTATAACAATATTACGAGTACAGTATAATTAATGTATTGTTGCATTGTCAGCTGCAGATCTAATAGTCAGCAACTATGTATACATATACACCGTGTTATGACACGAGCACCAACGACCTGAGTTTGTAGACACGGTGGCAAGTAGTTATAGATAGTTCAACTCAGTTGTGCGCGCGGACCTATGTGTGCGTGGGCTTGTAAATATACAACTTTCATTCGTGTGGCAGTGACGCGGCAGTCGGACGCACACATAGGGCCGCGTGCACAACTGAGTTGAACTATCTATACTTATGTAGGTGGTTATGTTAACTCGCGAGCGTTCGTCAGCTGTACGCGCGTATGAGATATTGCCGAATTCATTTGAAGATTGATTATTTATTTACTTCTAATTAATGTTATTTAAAATTATGTATGAAATAACAGATATTGAATCAGCATATTTTCATTGTATGAATCGAAACAAACAAATTGATATTACACGTCGCAGAGGGTAGTCAGAGGTGGGGCAGAGTGGGTTGTTGTCACTGTGTATTTAATAGCGAGCGACGCAGTTAGAGGACCACTTTGTTTCCGAGACTGGTGGAGAACACTACTCTGCGCCCTGTCGGTTCAATCTGGCTCTGAGTATACCTATTACCTAAATATTACAGATAAGTATAAGTATTTTTGTTATAATTACCCTTATTATGTACAAAATGAAATTAAGATATTTTAGTTTGTCTATACTAATTACTAATGTTTTGTCTTATAAATAAACTTGAAATACTTAAATAAATGATTGTTTAAGCTTTGAAGTTATGTTTTTATTTTTATGCATTGTCCTCTTCCGACACGCGCGAGTTACGATACTACAGCGATAGATTACGTTAGTACCTGTACATTGCGTAGAGCAAAATAAAACGAATCACTGTAAATCCTTTATCTTTCATTTCTATGATGAACTGACTTCTGCATCGTGATAAATATCTCCAGAAAGACGTTTTAGTGAGATCTATGAGACCTTATGCCTTACACCCTATGTATTACTTCGAGACATTAAATACTCGTTCAACGTTACGTCAATGGTGAAATGCAAAGAAAGAATTGCTTCAGATTGTTTTATCTGAGGACGTGGTGCCATTTTGTTTCGAAGGATCTCTTCAACGGTTATAATCTGGGACAATTATTACATAAATATGTACCCATATTATATAGACCTAACGAAGCAGAGCTCGAACCATAGTTCTGTGTTCTAGGACCGATAGGTTGAAGAACACAGCCATATATAGACGAAGCATATAAACATATATATATATATATATATATATATATATATATATATATATAGAATACCTAACGTCACCACCCCTATTCATCCCGTGAGTGTCGGAAGAGCACACTAAGGGAGCAAACTACGCAGGACAACAGCACTGCCAAGAGTAGGAAAACTTGAAATAAACCCTATATCAACCCGGCTGGCCAACGTGATATAGTAGGCCAAAACCTCCCTTCTAAGAACAGGCCTATGTCCAGCAGTGGGCTGTTATAGGCTGTTGATGATGATGATGATATAAACATATTTATATGAGTATATTGTTGTATATTCATAGATTTTTCTTCAACAGTTCATGAGAATACTTTACAATTATTACTTGTACAATATGAATATAACGATAAACCTACATTTCCCTGTGAAAACTTTCTTTAATTGAATTTCCCTTCCCTTCTGCGAATACACTCAACTAAGCTGAGTAGTCTCGTAAGATTATTCCCCTGTTATATGTAATGAGGAGCTTTGTTATAAAAAGAATTCCCTTGGAAGCATTTTCAAGTGTCGGAAATGATCATGCGCTTAAACTGTTACAGTGAAAAGGTGAATCTCTTTTCTTGAGAGAATTTTTCTATTTCTTTCTTTTTTTTGTATTTTATCTCTTTTCTCTTTTCTCACGTTCTGATAGTTTAGGAGTAAAACTTGTAAAGCATTGTACAAAACACAAAATTCCAGGTAACAAATTATTCAGTTGAGGTTGTGTATTGAAAAAACTAGTTACTAAAAAACTAAGAAAAAGTCCACCGTTTTTTAGTTCTTTATGTTTTTACACTTTGTGACAAAATTACTGTTTGAATAGTTACTTTCCCACCCGGGACAAATAATTCTGTGATGAGATGGATTATTTGTTTTGTGTTTAGGTATAATTTACTTATAATATGTCTAATGTTTGTCAGCAGTCTGGTTGTCATAGTACAGGCTCTGCCTAGTTTGGGATCAGACGGCCGAGTGTGAAATGTGTGAATTTATTATTATTAAAATGGGTTCATAACAATGATAAATTGATTTGTTCTTAAAATTGTGAGTTTTAAAAGAGTGTCTGTATTTTACTTGAGAAAAAAGCAGAAACAAGCTCAAGGGTCTAAGTCTACACAAACTCAAACTGTGTTTGGCTATTTACGTGTCCAGGATGATGTTTATATGAAAGAAACATCTCAGTTTTGAGCTGACCGGTCAGGATACTCAGTAGACTAGATAAGTCCTTATTCAAGGAATTGAGCCACAGTTTCGGAAAACTCTAACCTTAACCCTCTAAACATTTACTAATAAATAAAACAACATAATATTTTCGATCTCATTTTATTAAAATTTTTAGTCTGTATTTCGGTGAGTACTTTATATTTAAGTCTTAGCACAGACTTTACTGATATCTATAAATACTCTTATTTTTACTGCAAAATTAGTGCTATAAGGAATCATATAGTAACAAAATGTCATACTATATACTTTTAATCATGAAATGGAGGCTTAAAACTAAACGATTATTCACTTTTATTACAAATAAAAAGTAAAAAAAGTAATTTAAAATAAAAATAAAAAAAATACTAAAATAAGCGGGTTCAGTCGTAACTTTTAATACAAATAAAATAGGATGTTTTACAACCTGTCATACCGTTCCCTAAATTTATTTACATATTTACAAATGCTATTGGTCCATCTATGTTGTAAATCAAACTGACGTGTTGTCGGATGTCATTAAAAAATAACCTCAAACAAAATAAACCGTACAATTTAAATAGTTATAAAATTAATTCAAATAGGTACTTACAAAATCATTTTACATTCGGAAGTACTGTAAAGTTACAGATTAAAATAAAAGTTTCATTATAAATTTAAATAATTATTAAAAATAACAATGGCCACCTGTTTCTTTAATAAATCATTAGATTATCATAAAGTAAATTCACAAAAGCACGTCTTTTGTCGAAGAACCATTTTAATTAACTTCGATAAAAACTTTGGCGAAGATTATATTGGTGTCTCCTTATTTTTCAAACATCTAGTTTTCAATACAATATTAAATTCAAATTCTGTCGGTTTTTAGAATTACGTAGAATAACAACAAGTGTTACAAGTCGAACACTATGAAAAAACAATAACAAAACGAGCGAGCCTTGCAGTAGTCGCATAACATCTACAATCTTTCGAACAACTCTAGCAGAATGAGAAAATTACTCTACACTTAGCCGCTTCCTGTTACACGTTTCCGTCCCTTTTCATGAAATCACTGTGATAGATTACAGGTGGAACAGAGGAAAGATGTTGTACATCAAAAATATGTGAAAGTATTTTTTTTTGTTGAATCTTGACATTAACTGTTAACATTATGTTTATTGAAATTTTGTTATATGTTGATAGTTGTTGTGTATAGTTGAATAGTGTTAAAATAAAACATGTTGACGTTTACTACTAGATACGACATGTTTTAATCAAAACTCTCAATGTGTTGAAAGTATTTTTATCTAACACCAACAGTCTAAAGTATGCTACATTCACATACATAGATAATAAGAAATTAATACAACCATAAAATTTGTTTATGACCGCGAAAATATCTAATCGAATAAGCGTTGGAGCGTGGCGCCAATACGTAGCACAAAGGACACGCTGTATCAATTTAAAATAACTACGGTAAGAAAATGCCTCCAGAATCATAACCACAAGTGCAGGGATGAATTGTCACTAGCAGGAAATTAAATCTGCTATGTTAAAGAAATCTTTTTAATTCTACATTCTTATAAATAATTCTAAAAACCGGCAGAATATAACGACGTTTAAATTTAAGTATTCACTAGTTCCGAATATATCGTATTGTAATTAGGATGGATATGCGGCTGAGCTGCTGAACTATTTACACATTTTATTTATTATTTTTCTATTTACACTCATATACAATATTGTTCCGTTAACACATTATAACACTTCAAAGTTTTAGATATGATATTCACGAATGTCACTCATAGTTCACTTAAGTTTTATCGTTTATTATTCACATCGTCTTTGTCACAACACTATTCACTAAAAGGCAACCTTCTAAATTCAAGTGGCACAGTCAGTCTATATATAATCTGTAACACACTTGAGAAGGTCCGGCTCAAGTCACACGATCTCGTCTTGATGGACAACGTCGCTGCAACTGCCGGCTCGTTGCAGTCATGCCCGCTGACGTCACACACGCAATTCCTCCATTGTCACATTCGATTTTGCGTTCAGTTGCGTGTTCTTCTTTGTCAAGGTACTCGTATTGATCATTTGCATGTGGTGCGCTGACAACAAAGGCTGATTTTCCTGGAGCTGTCCGCTCGCCAAAGTATTAATATTGCTTTTACCTAATTTTGGTGGTGGAGGAGCACGAGGCAATGTTGCCATACCAGCCACATTATTACTTGGCAAATCGGCAAACTCAGGAGGCGGTAATTGATGATGAGAGTGATGATGGTGACTTAATATAGTAGCAGGATCATTTTTTAGACTAGTCTGGTAAGTCAACGCCCCTTCCAGGTCACCGCAAATGCTATTTGGCATCTGGCCATTCTCGGCTCGTTTTTTTAAATGAGCTCCATTAGTATGGCCGTCTTGTCCGTTCATTCTTGTTTTGTCTCTTTGGTAATATACGCCGGCAAAAATGAGGACGTTTAATATAAGTAGAGAACAGCCTATAGCTATTGTTACACTTAGAGCAGTCGAATAAGCTGCAAATCCATCTTCAGGAGGACTCGCAGCGGTAGCATCTGTTTTGTGTAACTCAACACTGGATGTACTTTGCGTAGGTTGGTTAAGACCAATTATGTTAAAGTTCAATGGTGAAGTGATGTTTAAGACACTGAGAACTGGTATTTTTGTCGCTAGTCCGGTGTCGGTAATAATCATGTCTGTTGTTTTCTTGTAAGTTGGGCTAAATGTTTTGAGAGTTGGCTGCAAAGCCATTTCTTCGTGTTCGAGTTGATGATGAGAGGGTGGTACATCGTCGCCCCCCGGTCGGTGAAGGTCTGGTACTAAGTTTAACCAGAACGACAGCCTGTCAGCAAAAAATACATGGTTAAGTCGAACGTTCATTAAATAAACCTTACTCTACTATACACAATATCATTTTTTTGGTCTAAATTACTGTACGAAACATAAAACTGTATATATTAAATATTATAAATTATCATCCCAAATAACTTAATATTTTCATTTAATATTATATTCTCTATGTAAATCTGACTCTACTTCACCTATATTTTTTTTTGGGATTATTACTGAGTAAATAACACTTAATATGTACATAAAATATTTGTATATTTACCTATGAGCTCTATAATGGTTTTTTAGTTTTGGTTTAGTATCTATATTTAGGTATTTTTTGTGAACTGCTTCGTACGCTGTCCACTCTATATTTTTCATCCTCACTCTTTCTTGTCGCCCGGCTCTAATCGGATCGCTTTCTTGTGCTTCATTAGGATTCCTAGATAAAGTAAAAAAAAGACTTAATAAATTTTGAGATACACACTTGCAACAAAGAGGACATCTGATGATTTTTACAATATCAAGTTTAAAAAAATGTGAAATGTAAGCTCTGCACCTCAATACTGTAAATATTTGTATCAAATACGTTATATATGTAGGCATTCTAACATTTAAAAAGAATCATATTATGTCGGAGAACAATCAATTATCTGAAATGGAGGATTCCGTGAATGATGATTTTGTTTTAAGTTCTGATGAAAGAAAAAGTTTGTACTGTGATCGTTATGAACAATACTTTATTTTTATTAAGAAGTCTTTTGGAAAATTCTATTTATTGTTTTAAAGTTGTGTAGAAGTTTGTAGTTGAATTATATTGCTAAAATATTCTTCTTTATTTCTTCTTAAACTTTTCGGTTTTTTATAAACTTTTCGTTCGCCTTTTGTTTTTCTTTTTTTACGACAAGAATAATTGATATCACGCTTAACTTTGGACTTACAATGCATTTAAAAAAATATTTCTTTAATGTTTTAATTACTTAAAACTGAATTTAAATTGTCAAATATATAATATAATAATATTTATTTGCAGAAAATGTGGTAGTCACAGTAGGTGGTTTACAATGTTTAAAGCACAAGACACATTTCGCTATATTTAGGTAGCATGCAAATTTTTAAACTTATACAGGTAAAACTATGAAATAAATAAACATACTTAAAAACATTAAATTGATGACTAATATGAAATTAAATTACATTACATTCCAATTGAAATATCAAAAATCATATTAAAAATAATTACTACACTAAACAACACACAAAGTGATGGTAGATAGAACTAAAAACTAAATTTGTTTAGCAATATTTTTTAAGTTACTTACCCAGTTTTAGCAAAGTTGCCCCAGTACAGCATAACGGATTCAGAGAGAGCTACTTCAGCTTTAGTGTAGTTTTTTGCAAAGTGTGCCAGACCACCGACCAGAGGGGCTCCGAATATATACGGCAGCTCTTCACCGTGAATGCAACCTTGACGCTGAAATAACACTTCAGATGAGTATTTTTAACACTAGGTATTGACGTTATATCAATAGCTTCGTGACAAACTAACATTAATTCATAGTCATTGTATATTGATATCAGATTTTAGAACTAAGGACAGTACAATAACGAGGTCGATTGGTTCTTAAAACACTTTACTGAAGTTCATTTTTCAAAATTAGAAGAAGTATCTTCACTGAGTTAGCTTAACTTTACTAATATAAAAAATATAACTTTACTAATATAAATATAATAAAGGCAAAAGTTTGTATGAATATTTGTTAAACATGGTTGTGTTGTTTTTCCGGCAAAAACTGAAATTTGGCAGATAGATTATAGTACACAGTACGAACACATCCCAGAAAAATGTAGTGTTCCCGTAGGATCAGCAAGGTAAAATCACAACCGCGGGTAATATTCGCGGGGTGCAGCTAATCTACCTGTATATTTTTTGTCCATGTAACCTATCTCTATCTATATTTATGTGTAACAGAAACTTTTAAGGAAATTTTCAATTACCTTCCGACGTCCCTTGAGCTTAAAACTTTCGACACAAAGATAGATGACAATATAACATCATAACATTAAAAAGCTTGGAGTGCTTTTAATTCAATTTTTCTAACTTTATTTTAATAAAAAGAGTTTTATCGAATAACGTTGAATGTTACAAATAGAAATAAAAATTACACGCTTTTTCTTCACCGCCATTCTATCTGCTACCGCAGCAGTCAATCTGCCACCAGAGGGCCACCATCGAGTGGGGCCCTCTGGTGGCTTTATAGAAAGAGACCACTGCACCCCATCCCTCATCACCCACCAGCATGGCAGTAATTATTGCTGGCGGGAACAGGTCTCGTCCGATTTGGTCGACCAGAACAGCGTGTGCCTTGTGAAGTCCCAGTCGGCTGCACAGTGCTGGCATTGTGCCGTCTCCTCGCATCCGATACATACAGGTACTCACCGAAGCAACCATACCCAGTGAGTACCTGCGTCAGTCGGTAGGTGACGCGACCTCCCTCCCTACCTTCCCAAGCTTCTAAGCTGTTCTAGCCGCGCGCGCTTAGCTTAGCTTGTTGTAGCCAGTGCCTGTTGGTGAGCGTTCCGCTGCATTTCGAGCTCGCTCCCACCCCGGCGGATTGTGTGTCTGATTCCTTCGACCTTCGCGTCCATATCCGCCATGCTCTGTTGGCCTAGTGGTTAGTGATCCTGACTGCTAAGTCAGGTCGTGGGTTCGATTCCCACCCAGAACAAATATTTGTGTAATGAGCACGATCATTTTTTCTGTATCTGTGTGTAATTTATCTATAATATGTATGTATTTAGAAATATATATATATAAATAAGTATGTTTATCAGCGGTCTGGTTATGATAGCGTGAGGTTTTTATATTATTACTTACTGATGAGAGTATTATTTATTTATTTAAAGTAACTGATTTTTTCAATAAAATAAAACATGTTGTACTCTGAAAAAAATTAACAAGTCTCTTTGAAGTCAATGTGTACAATTTATAACGAAATAACAGAAAATATAAAATTGGTTAGTCTAAATAAGTTTAGGTCTACGTTAAAACAACAGGTCTGCCTTAAGGGCTATTACATTATAGATAATTTTATGTTAAAAAGAATTCTATCTATTTCAAATACTCAATAGAAATGTATTATGAGTCAGTGTTTTTTGTTTTACTTTAAATCTCTTAATGTTTTTGTTTCTTTTTTTCCTTTCCTAATTATGTTGTCTATTTTTTTGTTTGTTATTCTAATTTTAGTTCGTTCGCCTTCAGATTTTAATTACATAATCGTGTAATACAATCTTAATATTGTTACAATTATCTGGTGATTTACAGAAGTAGCTATGAGTTTATGTGGCCGACTTCTTCGCACAAAGCCCAACCATTGAAATGGTTGGGTATAGATTTCCACACGCAGATAAGGTATTATTGGATATCCATTGTTTTAATAACTTTACTTCTGAGAAAACAACCTATCGTCCCTGTAGCATTGTATATACTGATTTATTCATCTATACTAATATTATAAAAGGTAAAGTTTGTGAATTTGTATGTTTGGGGTAATCTCAGAACAACTGGCACGATTTGAAAAAAATATTTCAGTTTTGGATAGCCCTTTTATTGAGGAGGGATATAGGTTATATAATATCGTACTACAACCAATAAGTGAAGAGAATCAATGAAATCCGTGTGGTGACGGATTAAAAATACAGAGTGTCACAACCCCTATTCGTCCCGTGAGTGTCGTAAGAGCCAACTAAGGGAGAAAACTACGCAGAACAACAGCACTGCAGAGAGAAGGAAAACTTGACACAAACCCTATACTAATCCAACTGGCCAGCGTAGTATATATATACCTCAGTCTATGCTTGTCCACTGCTGGACATAGGCCTCTCCCAATGATTTCCAGCGGGGACGGTTGATTGCGGCCTGCATTCAACGGTTTCCGGCAACCTTTACCGGGTCGTCCGTCCATCGGGTAAGAGTATAGTAGCGTAGTATAGTGGGCCAAAACCTCCTTTTTAAGGAGAGGCTTATGTCCAGCAGGAATTATTAAAGGCTGTTGATGTGATGATCAATGAAAAATGTTGAAAAAACGAGGAAAATTTTATTCCTTTTGAGAAAAGCAGACGTTTATTTAGACGATAAGCCGTTGCACGGATCAGTTGGTAATTTATCTTAGAATTTTTTACTACACAGACTTTTTTGTTTCGTTTAATAAATTAAAATATTCAAATTGGGTTAAAAGTTAAATCTTATATAAAAAAAAACACGATTGATATTTTTAATGTGAATAATAAACGACATAAGTTGTCGTTTTAGCATTCGAATAAAAAATGCCGTGCAAATAAGAGTCTGACTCAAGCACCGAGAGTGCCGTACAGACAAAAGAGAAAAAAGATTATTGCATATCTATAACGAACAGTAAATATATTCTTTATGGGCACCTTTATTCCTTTTTAGGTAACCCTAACTTCTAAATTTCCATATTGTATAGCTCATTATCAGCCTATCGCAGTCCACTGCTGGACATAAGCTTCTCCCATTGCACGCCACTTAGATCGATTTTGGGCTTCTCGTATCCAGCTCCTGCCAGCCATATTGCTCAAATCGTCACTCCACCTGGCCTGTGGGCGTCCTACATTACGTTGTATTGTAAAACTCATTTTTTCTTAAAAGTGATAACGACACTTCAAAATCGTTCCCATAACAGCCTTATTACTAAATTATGTTAGTACTTTGTCGAGTATTATCTCATGTATATGTGATGTATCTGAGTTAATGTAACCATTATACGGAACTGTGGAGGTAATCCTCCTTTATTTGCTGGCAATAACGTTGCCTGATAATTTGTACAGTATCAAATGGGACTCATATTAAGCTGTTTTAGTACAATAGTATATCTGGCCCATTCTGAGTTGATATTGATTTATTTAAAAATGAGGAAACAGAAACACAGTGTAAACTATTTCTGTCTCAATGACTTTCAATCTATACTAATACTAATACTAATATTATATAAAGCTGAAGAGTTTGTTTGTTTGTTTGTTTGAACGCGCTAATCTCAGGAACTACTGGTCCGATTTGAAAAATTCTTTCAGTGTTAGATAGCCCATTTATAGAGGAAGGCTATAGGCTATATACCATCACGCTAACAGCAATAGGAGCGGAGCACCAATGAAGAATGTTTCAAAAACGGAGAAAATTTATTACTATTGAGAGACGCAGACGAAGTTGCGTGGGTCAGCTGGTAATTGATAATTATACCACAATGGACAGCTTGCAGATACTAATTTGCTTAAACCTTGATACATAGGTATCTAGAACCACATAAGCACACAAGAAACACATAATCTCACACGAACTCACACAGACATAAATCACTCAATGTATATCCAATAATTTGTATTTTTTGTTTTTATGGTAACGAACACGTGATGGTAAGTGACTACTTCCACGTATGAACACCTGGAACCCAAGAGTCACTAGCCCCCTTCCCTCAGAATTAGGGGGAGCGGAGGGGGGAAGAGGTTGATCCCTTTTTTTTTTTTTTTTTTTTTTAACGTGTGGAAATCCCCTCGGACCGTCACCCCTCCGGGGTTTGCGGCGGGGTGGTGTGTCGGACTCGGACCGACTAAAACCACACGGTGTGCCACTCTGCGCCTGTAACAGGAGGGATCCGGGAACAGCTGTTGTTAAGACATCCGGACCCCTCCTAGCGCCAGCCCGCTCCTGGTGCGGGCTCCGTCTCAATGTGGATGTTCCTCTCTTTAGGCGACGTCCGGCACACGCGGACGCCGCCCCCTCGCGGCTGGCCAACTAATGCGGGTGGAGGGGAAACCCACCCCGTCCACCCGCGGCCACACTCAGGGCGGCATGAGGCTGTGGTAGGCGGGCCTCCGCCGCCCGGTTCGCCGGCGGCGGATCGGGTCCGAGTGGAGGTCGTCCTCCCGGGCCCTTTCCGCCGCCTCCTTCCGCGAGATTACTACCTCGCAGAAGGTTGCGACCGCGGTAAAACAACTGTCGCTACCGGCCATGGAGCGTACTACGGCCGGTAGCGAGAGATCCACTCCGATGACTGCAGTGAGGGCCCGGCGCTGCGCCGCCCATGCGGGGCAGACCGCCAGCGTGTGCTGGGCCGAGTCCTCACTGCAGTCGCAGTGGTGGCAGGCGGGACTCAGTTCCCTCCTAGCGACCGTGTGCAGGTACTTTCCGAAGCAACCGTGCCCGGAAAGCACCTGCGTCAGTCGGAAGGAAAGGGTCCCGTGCTGCCGCCCTGCCCACTCGGCGATGACCGGCTGGAGAGCCTCCACGGCGGCGAAGCCAGCGCGTGGAGTCTCCAGCCGGAACGACCAACGAGCCATCGTGGCTCGGCGAGCGGCTTCGCGCCACTCGCGCACATCCTCGGGCGGAGGGCGAAATCCGCTCTCCGCCCGGTAGTCAGCCACTCGCCGATAAACTTCGGCGAGCACTTCCGCCTCCAAATCCCACGGGGGAGTTCCGGCCAACGCGCACGCCACATCCGTCGAAACGGTGCGGTAACCGCGTATGGCTCTGACCGCCATTACCCTCTGAGGGCGCCAGAGGCGTACCCTATTCTGGGCGGTCAGAGCCGCCGCCCACACCGGTGCACCGTACAGTGCCATTGACCGGACAACCCCCGTGTACAGCCGTCTTGTCGCGACGCTGGGTCCACCCATATTGGGCAAAAGTCGCCCTAGGGCAGACGCAGCGCCGACCAGCTTTGGAGCAAGCTGTCGGAAGTGCTCGTCGAAGAGCCACCTCCCGTCGAGGATCAGGCCCAGATATTTCATCTGGGCCCGAACCGGTACGAGGACCGAGTTGACCACGATTGAGGCGCCAGGGGGTGGACCACGACGGGGCCCATGGAATAACAGGGCCTCCGTCTTATCTAGGGCCACCCGTAAGCCCAGCGCCTCAATGCGCCCGACCACCAGGGAGACTCCCCCTGTGGCCAGGCGCGCCGCCTCTTGGAAAGAGGTTGATCCCTTACCTAACCTTACTGGTTGAAAAACAACAAAATGATTGCTTTATATCAGTTTTCTGTGAGGCCACGGTAACACTCCATCGAGCCGGTCCATCGAGTGTCGAAGTATGGCTCTCCCAAGGGAAGTAATATCTTCATCAAACTTTAGTCTGTTTGTAGACCATAATAAATTATAGTCAAATAAAAAACACGCTTTTGTAACTAGCCGAACCAAAAATAGAAAATAATTTTCCTAAGTTCAAAAAGAAAAATCATTTTATAATAAATATGCGTGGGTTGCTACATCTCAATTGTTGTAAAAGTATTTCATTGACAGATATTGGTAAAAATAGAGTTATTATATTTTAGAATATCTTGAAAGCACCTTATTAAGGCTAACTAACTAACTAGACTACAAGTAACAAGTAAGTTAATCACACATGTTTCATCACATGCCTATTAGTACATATCAAAAGACGTTAGTGAAAAAAAACCGTTAAACCTGAAGATCCTGATAAGGATAATCGGCCAAATTATTACATTGTCATCGGTTCTTGACAAAAGTTTGCGAAGTTTCAATTTAATTCCACATTTTGAAGTGGGTCAAAATCATGTTCGAATATTCCGCTACATATATACCAAGCTAATAAAAGCTTTCCGTGGGAAAATCCTCTTGATAAATCCTGGTAATTTTAAGTACATATACCCACTAAAGAGTGCTACAGTACATACTCTCGAACATATAATTCTCCTTCTTGCGCTATCAGGTGAAAACTAAAACTAAAACAGCAATTTGAATTTCGAAACTTAATTATTTGGCTGTCAAGCCTCTTACCTGGGGGTAATCGCCGTATTTAGTCTGGTAGTCGAACACATAGAGATATGAGTTCCTTCGCAGCGCCGAATGAGTGTCAGCTGTCAGCACCATAGGAGCCACGACTTGAGCGTCGCTTAGTGCTTCTAACGTCTCGTCCCTGTCACCAAGAATATGATACTGACATCGTTTATTTTGAGAATTACAATATATTATAACGAATACTATGCATTTATTCTAAGAAGTAATTTTACTGCACGTATGGCGTAGTGGTTTAAAGGGTCGCCACACCGCTTACTACTACGCTGAGTGTTGTGGGTCCGATCCCCACATGGGACGACACCTTGTGTGATCCTCAAACTGTTGTTCTGAGTCTGGGTGTTCTTTGTGTTCGTTTCCTGTATGTTTGTAAAGTCCACACAGGATATGTTCCTAAAGCGAAAGTTGTCTTTATTAAAATAAAAAAAATAAAAAACTCAAAGTTTAGATCAATAACAAAAAATAGCGAAATTAATAATATGCTTACGTATATAGACAATGACAGTATATAGCAAAGCCTTGTTACATTATTTTAATACTATAAAAGCTGGATTTTATCTAGATTTTGTATAACATCTTAACACCATCATAATCCACAAGAGATGATGATAATCCTCACACTAGCCATTTAGTGTTATCGAGATATCGTCTATACTAATATAGTAAGAAACACCTTATTTTCATGCCTACAGAAGCTATAATGTATTCGTAAAACCTACACGCATACTTGTATTTTTATCTCAATACCGCTACTGAGATTGGGATTAAATAAATACAAAATATCTCACGACTCGTCTCGGAGTAGTCAAGAGGTTCGAGCAGAAAGCATACGTGTGTTCCCGCATAAAGAGGAGAAATCCGATTTTATTTTAAATGTTTGAACTGTAGCTTTGGCATCGAGTAATTTTAAAAGTATAATGTATACAGAAGTATGTTATATATATCACGATTTACATAACACTTATCTGTATGAGAGAGTTAAAAAAATGGATGGCAGGTGAATTGTTGCTTATCTGTCGTTCAATTTTTTCAGATCCAAGATTCAAAAACCTTCTAATCCGTAATGTTCTGTGCCTTAAACTGTCAAATGATAATATTGAAAAACAAAAAACGTATTAAAACTGACTGTTTTTCTCCATAAGATCTACGTATCAAAACAGGTAACTAGTTCACAACTCGTCAGTCAGACAAATAATAGGTTACATTGAAACAAACGACTAATTGATTGGATGCGGAATGTTGATCTTATACGCACTTGAATTATACTGAAATAATTTTAAGTATCTTGCTGGTTTGGTATCTAAAATCTAAATAAAAATTATAGCAGTCAATGGAATGATGTCAAGTAAATTATATCGCAACGTAAAAACATAATTAATTCAATAAAAGAAAGATATTAACGTATTGCAACGGTTGTAACAGTAAAATAAAAACAAAACAGATTGAATAAAATTGAATTGAATTGAATAAAAACAAAAAAATATATAGACCTAACAATATTATTCAATAATTCAATCTCACCGTATTACAAGAATACAATAATACGACCCAAATAGGCAGCTACTAAACAATTAATTCTCGTTACAGTAGAGTGTCTTGTCATTGTCTCCCAATAGGATTCCTGTTCATGTATTAACTAATTGAAATATTAATGAAGATCGTCAGGTCGTGAAGACATTTCATTCTGGAGCGTTTTTGGCGGGTAAATTAATCGGTGAATATGAGGGAAATAATGTTACAATAAAGCTGTTTATTAAAATCAAAATTTCTAAAGTGACAACAAGAAAAACATTTTTGACGACCGAATGGCGTAGTGGTTTGTGTAACGGACTGCTATTCCAAAGGTCGTGGGTTCGATTCCCGCTCAAGTCAATCATTTGTGTGCATGAACATTTAATGTTTGATTTGGTCTGGGTGTTTCTACGTATAATGAGTATGTATTTACAAAAAAAAAGTATATATGTATTTATATCAGTTGTCTAGTACCCATAGTACAAGCTCTGCTTAGTTTGGGACTAGATGGCGTTGTGTGAATGTGGTACAATATTGTATTATTATTATATTATTATTAAGAAAAAACTTAAAGTATCAATTCGTACATGTCAAGGTTTTCATTTTATTACATAAATGTAATTTCTTTTTTTCCTCTTTTTTTTTCTTTTATGGTATAAGGGGGCAGACGAGCAGTCGGGTCACATGATGGTAAGCAACTACCGCCGCCAATGGACACCTGCAACTCAATGGTCACAAGTGCGTTGCTGCCCTTGGAGTCCCTCCTGCTCGAGTCAGCGAGAGAGGGGATTTTGGCTCCGGTAACCTCTGTCACTCAGTGAAAGGCAACGAAGGAATTGCTTAACACCGGTTTTCTGTGAGGCCGTGGTATCATTTTGGTCGAGCCGGCCCATTCGTGCCGAAGCATGGCTCTCCCATTGTAATTGAATTAACAGAATAGAAACTAATAATATAAAACATCAACATTGTCTTCAGAAACCTTAACAGTTTTAAACTGAATATTTTAATACATCGTGACCAGATCTTAACATTAAGGATACTATGCCTTTTTTTACATGAAATATTAAACCACGTTTGCCAATGCCATCAGAGTGTAAAAGAAGGTTTAACAAAACAATGTAAATGTTAATGTAACAATTTATTAATTAATTGATTAATTGATCTGCCCAGGATCATATTGACAACCACGAAATATACGTTGAAATCACTGTTGAATTTTCCCACTTCATCTTAACATAATGTTCTAGATATAATTTGTATCTAAATTTGTTTTCTTTTTAAGATCAAATGCTCTAGTTTTAATCTCAAGATATCTGGAATGGATGGATATTAGATTAGATTAGTAATAAAGTGTCATAATTATGCCACATACCTTATATTAATTGGATGCTGTACGGGTCTCTCCCAATCCGTGTATTCGTTGATGATCGTCGCCAAAATCTCTGAGAGATGATAACTGTAGGTATTTCTGACGAAGGACTTCAATATTTTTGATCTTCTGTCAGCTTCGATGCCGTATTGGACGTCGTCTCCACTGAATGCAAAATAAGCTTCTGCCTTTGTAACTCCTAGCATAAGATCATACCTGTTGGAAATACATTGTGTTTTAAAAAGGATAATAATATTTTGTGGGCAACATACTACAGTGTTTTTGAAAGTCAAATTATACACAGCTGGTACTATGGATCTCATCATCCTCATCATCATCATCAACAGCCTATAACAGTCCACTGCTGGACGTAGGCCTCTCCTTAGAAAGAAACATGGATCATCAATGGATCTCAGAACATGAATAAAATAATGAGATACATTTTTAGTACATCCTGTTTTAAATTATTTGTATGAAATAAAGTTTTTTTTATTTGGTTTATTTACTTATTTTTTATTTGATAATTTATACGCAGACCTCAGGCAGACTTTTGGTAGATAATGATTAATACTAATTCGATGTATTATTGATATATCGAGTAGGTAGAACAGTGAAAGCATTTTACTTGGTAAGCTGCGCAACAGAACTCTTCCGCATCAGCACTGCGTTGATGATGTTGATGGCGTTCGCACCTTTTCCGATGGCTGCTTGTGCCATTTGACCAGCCCAGTCATATCCATTTTCTGGATTAATCAGAAGGTCACCAGTGTCTGTTAAAGATATAATAAAAGTCAGGACATGTTACAGAAAGTGATCATCTTCCAGCGATCTACCTTTTTTTTTATTTTATTTTTTCCGTGCGTAAATCCCCTCGGATACCACCTATCGGTTTCATGTCGGACTCAAACCGACTAAAACCGCACGCCGTCTCGGGTACTAATAGCCGGGGAACCAGGCATACCCTAGAAAGGAAGTCCCTGGTGCACCAGCGATCTACCCTCTCTTTACTCCTCCTTGCTATCAGTATCATTGCACCATGGTACTAATGTAAATGCTATTCCATCAACGTTTTCTGTACAATAGTATCTCTTAAGCATGTCAGTTGACTGCACGGATGGCGTAGTGGTTTAAGCGGTCACCTCGCCGCTTCCTCCTACGCTCAGAGTTGTGGGTTCGATCTCTACACGGGACACAACTTTGTGTGATACAAAAATTATTGTTCTGAGTGTTCTTTATGTCCGTTTCGTTTATATTTGTTAAATCCCTCGCGACACGGCCTATATTCCTAATGCGAGATTTATCTTTTTGAAAAAAAGAAAAAGAAAAGAAAAAAAAGATCAGAATTCTATAATTAGCTGGCATTCAAATACTTTAAAAAAGTGTCTACCTTTGTATCATTAATTTGGTCACCAGAATCCCATTACTTAATTCGAATAAAAGTTGTAAACCACAAGTAACTCAAGCGCTGACTTAGAACTTACGGTAAATATTTATTTATGTATACGCCTGTTGTTGTACTCCAGTCATGTAGATTAATTTGGTAGAAACAATACAAAATACAGGTTTAGATCTATAAAAACAAAGCAGTAAACTTAACGTGGTTACAAAAACCGCGCACAGCTATTGTTATCGGCCGAAATGAGAAAAATATTGAGTATGATAGAATTGGAATCTCGATGGCCTGGAATTGGAATTCTACCAAAAATTGTCATGCATTGAAAAATTGAGCGACAGTGACCTCGCTGGCTTGATATTGATGATACTATGATCAATAGAGAGATTAAAACTGAAAATAAAAATAAAGTATATTGGTAAAAGTGGTGTTGTTGCGATTTCTTACAGACAACCCTTAGAAAGACATCTGTTATAGAATCGTGTATAAGTTAGTTAATATAGAGACATATATAAATAGGGGCATACATATAGATACATTAATAAGTAAATTTATATAAATACCCACTACTGTAACTCTAAAAAATAATAATTACAAAATGACAGATTATCAGACGTAGAAAATTTGAAGAATTTTATGTGATATATTTTCCTGAATTTTTGAATACTCAAGAACTTTCCAGGTGTGTTAAGTGCGATCTCAAAATTTGATCGAAAAAGCAACACTTGGTATCATTTTGTCAATTGCTACGATGACAACGATGGTAGATAAACCCGAACAAAGTGCCGTAGGGCAGAGAACATAACGATATATGCTGTACATCGGGTAAAGGTAAAAATACAAGAAATTACAGAGTAAAAAATAATGTGCTTTACGGAGATACATACAAAGCTACCTACGATAATTTTTTGAAGTTTACTTAGCTGTTTTCATTTCCATGGTGTGTTTCCCCTTCTATTACGTAACTTATCCAACATGAGGCGTTTTTAAATTAATTGCAAAACAGATATTATTACTTTCTATTACTATTAGTTATTTCGTACTGATTTAAAGCAAGAAATGAGTAAAACAATAAGTCTAAGGCCAAGCCCAGATTAAGGCTATATACTCGTATTTATGAACCTACAACACACATAATCATTTGTGTTTTAGTAATTAGTGCGCATACTAATATGTGCCTTAATCGTTATACCTCGGGTTCCATTTGCTATGATTGCCATGTCTAAAAAGGTCAAAGACCGACTTGCGTCACTCGATAGAATTACGCATGCTAACTAGCTATCAGGTACCGACTAGCCGCCTGGTACTCAAGAGACCCAGTGGACTGACTACCGACAGCTGTGTCACGCACGCAGTTATGGCTTAGTGGTTTGTGTCATTACACAAACCACTAAGCCGTCCAAACATAAAAACTAGAACTATTGAAAAGAATCAAATATAAAAATGTCTTTATCTGTGTTCTTGTAGCTATTAATTGAAAACTTGAAGTATATACAAATTTTACATCATAAAGCAGTCCATTGGACTGCTATTCCAAAGGTCGCGGGTTCGATTCCCGCTCAAGTCAAACATTTGTGTGCATGAACATTCAATGTTTGATTTGGTCTGGGTGTTTCTATGTATAATATGTATGTATTTACAAAAAAATGTATATATGTATTTATATCAGTTGTCTAGTACCCATAGTACAAGCTCTGCTTAGTTTAGGACTAGATGGCGTTGTGTGAATGTGGAAAAAAAAAGAAAAAGTATTCGACACTGTGTAATTTGTACCGAAAAAATAAACTAAAAATATTTTTATAAAAGAACAAAATGAAATATTTGCTGTAATTCAAATACAATAACTTTGACAAAAATAAATGTCGCCTGTAGTAGCCATAGTAACAACACGAAATATAAGTATTTTATCAACCATAGCAGACACTACAGACAAATCTGTCGTGCCAATATTCGTTGTTTCCGTATCGGCATTCCTTCCACCCGTTGTTATTAAATTGTCTCCAAGAACTTTTCTCATCTCAACGTTGAGACCGTCAACGTTTTTAGTTAGCACACTTTGTTGTCTGGGAATTTTTACACGCTGACGCCCTATCCGAAGGACAATTAATGTTTGTTCTGTGCATCACATCATCAGTAAGAGATAGTGATTTTGGTTTTTGGATTGTTTTAAATTGTATATTTTGACGTGACAACGTCTTATAAATTGGTTTGCCGGGTGACACTTCAAGAAACTGCGTTACGCTCCGCTCACGTTATGCGCTCACAATGAGAGCGAGTGAGAGGCACGCGTCCCTTCCAATCGGGCATGGTTAGCCCGCCTAAGAGCGAGAGAGACAGACATAGTCGTTGTCACGTAAAACTTTCGCCCGTATACCGACTTTACAGGCAACCAATTTTTTTCTTACACACCATCATATGTATTCTGGTAATGAAATACGCTATCTTAGCAGACTACGATGTCACTAAGAAATAGTTGTGTCATTGAATAGTTTTACTTTTGTTTACGTTTTAAGAGAAAAGGAAATTTATACAGCTCTATTTATTTGTTTTTTGGTGGGTGGAAAGCGACTGTCGCCGCCCATGAACGTCTGCAACTCAGGAGTCACAAACGCGTTGCCGGCCTTTTAGGAAGGAGTACGCTCTTTTCTTGAAGGTAGTACCGGTCCGGAAATACCACAGACGATAACCTGTTCCACTGATTGGTTATGCGGGGCAATAAGTGGCAAAAAGCGCACAGTAGTGGAGCGCCAACTATCCAGGTAATGAGGTTGAAAATATTGCCGTGTGGAACGATGGCGGCAATTCGCGGCTGGTATTAGTCCGAACAATTCCTCGGAGCACTCTCCATGATATATGCGATAGAGAATGCAGAGTGAAACCACATCTGTGATTGCAAGTTTTTCAACTTATTTACAAAAATAAGTAAATAAAAAATATAATGTAGGGCATATATTTTTGGGATTACTCTTATTTCTATCAAATTACGTCGAAGATTACTCAAAGAAAAATTTTAATGAGTAGGTTGATTTTATATCAGCTGATCCAATACTCGGAAACGGTCTGATGAAACATTGTTGGTTTATTAAATATTGAAATGGTTAATCAAATTAAGAGAAGATTAATTGAAATCTGATATAGATTTTGCCTTGAGTTGAAAATTTGGTTAATTTTAGAGATATTGAAGTATTATTAGTACAAGTTAGTAGTATACTTTATGTTATAAGGGGTTAATGAGTAGTCACCTCATGGTAAGTGGCCCTCGTAGCCTATGGACGAATGTATTTCAAGAGTCACAAGTTCGTTCTGGGCTTTTGAGTGCCCTCCCTTATGGAATTAGGAAAGGAATGGGCTGTTGGGTTTCGTTCTGGTCGAGCCATTCCTTGTCATGGTTTTCCCATGACAATAATTAGGATTTCATTTGACCTTTGAAGGAAATTCTTAAGTATAATCATCAGCATCTAAGCTTTAGTCAAAAAATACCAAATGTTTTTGTTACTCAGGTTATTTATAGAAATTATTTTTAAGATCATGAACATCGACTGCCTTGCTGGTGTAGTGGTAGCGTATGCGACTGCTATGCTGAGGTCTCCGGTGTGATTCCCGGGTCGGATCAAATGTTGGTATGATCTGCAAAAATATTTGTTTCGGAGCTTAGGTGTTTACAAAAAAAAAGTATATAAGTATTCTATTAGTCAATCTAGCTTTCATGGTTCAAGCTCTGTTTAGTTTGATGTGCTTTGTGTGTTAGATGTCTGAAAATATTATTATTATTATTTTGTAATTGCTTTGAAATACTGACAATAAACTAGGGGTTTGGTAATTATCAGTTTCAAGTAAAACAAACCAAGAACATTATGACTATACCTACTTTTGTATTAACTGCCGGAGGAGAATGGTCTGAATCTCCGGCTATTCTGAGTAATATCAGACAAAGTTTTCAAGCACCACTAATACAATCAAGCAATGGGAATATCTGAAAATCTTTTCGTAATTACTTTTCTTGTATTTTTCCCCAAGGACCGAGTTATATTGATAAACTATTTGGGTGTTTGCCAATCAAATTGCGAAGTAACTAAGAGTTGTTGAAATAAGTTTTACTTTATTTGCAAGAGTTAAGGATTCTCTAGGGCTTTAATAAGCGTGGTTTTATTTTAGATTTATATTTTTTTGACATCGCAACATGACATGATCGCTGTCATCATCTGGTAGTATACTAGGACAATTGATTTTTTGTCTTCATCGGGCTCTGTCTATTGCTTCTATGATGATCTAATGAAGCTGAGTAAAGGACCTTGAGGAGTCTCGACCTCAGTATTACTAATTATAATCAGTTTTCCGAAATTCCCATCGCTTTTTATGTTGCATGTTCGTTGAATAAAAAAGTATTGAGAAGTCTCGAAATATATCCATTGGACTGTACCTCACCATGTTTATATACGCATGTTTACTGTCTCTAGCTTCTGTCCAAGACAGTGGATATTGTCTGTTATTAACAATCCTACACCAAATTTGGAACACTATCATGCAACTGACAAGTCAGGTACAGAAAAAAGTTTGTTCCTTTTTATTTCCTTTCTTTCATCTTTTCATTTAATTTACTTCACTAGCTGAGTAAGAAAAACGTGCCTCCATAAATAAAAGCTACACTTTCCATAAAACTAACAACATTTTAAATGTTTATTTATCTTTAACTACCCGATCGTCGTAGTTTCACCTATGTTTATGGTCCCTGATTTACCTAAGGACCCTGGCAATAGGTTTGCAGTCAATATTATTTCTTAATAGATACTCTATCCAATACTGAAATAATCATTCAATTCTGACTGCTAGTTCCAGAGATTATCACGTTTAACAAAGCAAAAAAACAAAAACTATTTGGCATAACTATATGAATATAGACCAGTATAGATGATGGCATATATAAACACACGATTGTGGTTTTAACATAACTATGGTTGGTTTATCCTGATACGTAGCCTCAGGTAGACGGTATTCCTGCTAATTGGCTTACGGAAGTCAGATAGGGGCTCTCTAAGTGAATATTAATTATGGCATAGCTGAGATATCAACCGCAAATTATGTGGGCTCTTGGTTATAATAAGATAATAGTTGCTCTAAGATATGGCTTCAATAGCTGCGGTATTCAACAATACATTTTTGTAAGCTTGATTCGTAACTAAGATCACGTTTGATGTGAAAAAAATGTCAAATCATGATAACATGTGTTGTATTTTGAGTCTGACTGCAATTTTTGCATTTATTATTTTATTTTTTAAGAAGCAGACGTGCAGACTCTTCTTTTTTTCTTTTAAAATGTCTACTAGCAACCGAAATTACTAGTATTCCCGTTAACCAATCACGCTAAGCTAAATTGCTTGTGTTAGGAGTGGGTTCACGTCGGTAGTGTAGGTACTGGTCAGGATTCGAACCCATGACCTCTTAATAGCAAATCCAATGCCTTAGCCACTACGCTACCGCAGCTTACTGTAAATTTATGAGAAGAAAGACGAAGAAAGAAGAAGAACTATTCACTGAATTTGTACCTACTATTAAATGCAAGTCCTGTCAGTTTATATGAATAAAAAAAGTACAATTTTATAGAAAACAGTTTCATTCATTTAGAAGATCTATATATTTATACGTGAAAGGTATTGTATATTGCCTTTTTATAAATTTAGCCGCTGCCCGCTAAATAAGCTTAGCGTTAGGAATGTGGGATCTCGTGGAAGAGCCATTCTTGAAGTGATACCAGAGCCTTACAAAGAACCGATGCGTTGTTCCTATATTACTTTTCACCGAGTGAATGGGTGGTTTCCATATGGTGGATATTTCACAGGTAGGGATTTCACAGGTTGGGCTGCGGTAAAGGTCCTGATTCCTGAGTCCGTGTGGTGACGGATTAAGAATACAAATTGTCACCACCCCGATTCATCCCGTGGGTGTCGTAAGACCCGACTAAGGGAGCAAACCAAGCAGGACAACAGCACTGCAAAGAGAAGGAAAACTTGAAACGAACCCTATACCAACCCGTCTGGCCAGCGTGGTATAGTAGGCCAAAACCTCCTTTCTAAGGAGAGGCCTATGTCCAGCAGTGGACTAGTATAGGCTGTTGATGAAAGGTCCTCATTGTAGGCGAAGGGACTGAAATTGCGGCCATACACTTATTACTCTTGAGTTTCAGGTGTTTATGGGCACCGGTAGCCACTTTTGATCATGTGACCCGTCTTGCCCAATATTCCATAAGAAAAATGAGAAATTTTGGAATAGTTAAGTTCTGTATGCATAACAAGCACAGAAAGCACGCAAGACTGCACGGATGGCGTAGTGGTTAAGGCGGTCGCCATGCCGCATCCTATTACGCCGAGTGTTGTGGGTTCAAACCCTACATGGACCAACACTTTGTGTGATCCACAAATTGTTGTTCTGAGTCTGGGTGTACTTTGTGTCCGTTTCATGTATGTTTGTAAAGTCCCCCGCGACACAGGACTTATTCCTAGTGCGGGAGTTGTCTTTTTAAAAAACAAAAAACAAAACAAAAACAAAGACTAATACTCGTATGTGGTATTCACATCACGTCACATCAACAGATGTTTAACAGTCCAATGCTGGTGATAGGACTCTCCTTAGAAAGGAGGCTTTGGCGTACTATACCACGCTGGCCAGACGGGTTGGTATAGGGTTTGTGTCAAGATTTCCTTCTCTTTGTTGATGATTGATTAATGATTGTTGTCATGCATAGTTTGCTCCCTTAGTCGACTCTTACGACAACCACAGAATGGTGGTGACAATCCGTAATCTTGATCCGTCACCACACAGATAAGCTTTCCATTTGTGAAATATTTTTTTAAATTGGTTTATTGGCTTAGGCGTGAAAGCATAACAAACAAACTCACTTTACAATTTATAATATACGAGTATAGAAGTATGGATATACAATTCGTTATAGGGTTTGTGTCAAGTTTTCCTTCTCTTCGCAGTGCTGTTATCCTGCATAGTTTGCTCCCTTTGTCGTCTACGCGGATGGACACACACACACCACACGGGCAGTACAGAAATATATGTAATAATACATATATTACATATATAGACTGGCCTGTTGGTCTAGTGGTTAGTGACCCTGACTGCTACGCCAGAGGTCGTGGGTTCGGTTCCCACCCAGGACAAATAATTGTGTGATGAGCACGATCGCTTGTTCTGTGTCCGGGTGTAATTTATCTATAATATGTATGTATTTAGAAATATATAAGTATTTTTATCAGCGGTCTGGTTACCATAGTACAGGGTGTGCCTAGTTTGGGATCAGACAGCCGTGTGTGAGATGTGTGAAACTATTATTATTTATTGTTATTATATACAGGGTGTAAGGGACGCCGTAACGAATACTGAAATAGTGTATTTAGACCATGATTCTGGATCACTATTGTGGTGCCTAGATGTGGCATTATTACAATAAAAATCTATAACGGCAACAAAAAGCTACACAGATTGTGTGTTATGCATTGTTGTAAAAGTCTATACATAAAATGACACTTCTAGACATTCTAGTTTAACTGGTCAATGGTATAAACAAAAAAAAATACACTGAATTAAAATTGAATTAAAACACACAGAAATAGCAATACATGTAATATAACCATATTACATGTATATTTTCCTGTTTGTTCAGAATATTTACGACTAAACTGGATAACCCTCAACCAACACTTTTCTTTGTACTGATTGACAAATATTTTTGCTGACACCAAAAATAGCAATAAATAGTTTATTTTGATCTCTATTGAAGATGTAATAAAGACAGGTTTTGGTTTGTTTTTCTACAAAGAAACGAAATATTCAATAACTGGTTATATTTGTGATACCTACGGAAATATATATACGGAAAATGATATTTTAGATATCATAGGTTTCTCATTTACACAACGTTACATTTACTCTCATGTTTCTTCTGCTAAAACTTAGAGTTGGTGCCAACATTGCCCCTTCTGGTGAATGTGGAATACATACATATTACACAATTCTATTCCTTTTCATAAAATCACTCCCACGATGGACCTCGTTACGTGATAACCGAGTAGCATATTGTAAAGTTATGCAATCCTAGCCAGGTCAGTCTATGGATGGGTAACCAATTCTTAAAACATTGATACCCTGCCTCGGAGAGCACCGTGACAATCGTTCAGGGTGGTGGGAGCCCTAAAAAGTACGACAATAGCCTATCTACAGAACTTCAAAATTCAAAAGTCGCTTAACGTACAAAAATCGAAGTTCAGCCGTATTGTACCTGGTACCAAAAGTCGGCCCCAGGCTTAGTTTTGGAAAGGGGCTCGGAAGATGATGATGACGCCTGCCGATTGCAGAAGATCAAGACGAAGACATAACATATCAAACATCCAACTTTTTTACTCAAATATGAGTTCATTTTTAAATTCTAAGTCTCGATATTTAAAAGGTGGTCACATTGCATCATCATCATAGTAACTATGATATATTAAAACTTCTATATTTAAACTTTTACTCTCTTATCCACCTAATCATTAAATGCCTTTCAGTACGCAAAGGTACAACCTCCAAACTATAAAATATCACTACACTATGACTGTTGTTTCCTCTAGAATTTATTTCGACGAATAAACCAACAATTTTAACAGATAAAAGTGTACAAGACTTACCTATAACAACGCCGTCGACACTAGGACCGAAGGCGTACGCAAAGTCAGGCACTTGTACAGGTGCAGACATTAGCGCCTCTAGCGGACGCTCCCGTAAACATCTTAGTAATGCCGGTGGTGTTAATTCTGTAGAGGAAAACCTTTATTAGTTTTTGTTACTGCTAATAATAGCACATTTGAGACCTCATCGCTACCTACGTGATCAAAATATAAGGTTGTATTATGTTAAAGCAAAAAATCATTATTGTTCTCTTTTGCATGGTAAATAGGTGTAATTTGTTAAACACAGATTTGGATGCAGTTGGTATTTACGTAATCTCAAGTGACACCGTGTAGTAACGGATTAAGAATACGGAATGTCACTACTCCAATTCATGCCGTAAGAGCCGACTAAGGGCCCAAAACAACGCAGGACACCAGCACTGCAAAAAGAAGGGAAACTTGACATACCAACCCGTTTGACTTCCCTTCGCGGCACCGTGCGACTAACGTGTGACTTCATGTGCTAACAATTTAAATATTGTTTTCTGTTTTTTCTGCGACTAGTTTTCGGCTTGCGGGCGGCTAAAGGTTGTGTATAGTGTTTTAAAGAAAGTCAGTAAGTTTTTATTGTTTTTAAACAGTAATATAGTGCTGAATTATTTTATTACGACTATTGGTGAGTAAATTTATTTTCTTTCTAAAAGTGGGTAGGAGGTATCCTTTGTTTATATTGATTTTTCTCTGCGTGTTATTTATTTTTAAACCTGTTCCTTTTGAAATTGTTGTTTGGTGTGTCTTTGTTTGGCTATGTCGGTCGTTAGCGAGTTGCCGGACCCCGGCGGTACAAGTGAATTTCTAACACCAACCGGGAAAAGGACATTTATCGAAATGTCACCTACTGGTTTCTCGCCGAAAGACAGTAGCCGTAGGCGCGTTATTAATTCGGACTTAAGTAGTAATGTTTCGTCTCCTACTGGTCGTGATAACTGTGGGGAGTACAACTACTGTGACTTAGTATCACAGGCCACTGATTATTTAGCAAAAATTAATGAATTAGTTAATGATCAGGGATCTCGGATGAATGTAGGTAATAAAACGGCGATTATGGATATTACTCAACGAATTACCGGTATCGTATCTTTGTTAGCAATAAAATCCTCTAGCAACGAAACGAAGTTAGCGAATTTTGAGCGACAAATGGAGGGTATCGCAACTCAACAAACGAGTTTAACGTACGCGGACAAACTTAAGCTTCGATTACCACCTAAATCTGCTCCGTGCCCGGTACCTACTGAAGCGCGCGTTCCTAGGCCTTGTGTCATTGCCTATCCCACTACGAAACGCCTAGCGGACTATGCGACCTCGTCAGCAACAAAACAAGCTCTCATGAAGGCTATTAAACCGAGCGATGAGGGATTTCAAATTGTAGGCGTTAAAAAAACCTCTAAGGCAGGCGTCGTGTTACGTGTAGCTAACGAACGGCAGCTTAAGAAACTGGAATCTGTGGACGCCATTAAATCAGTAGGGTTGCGCTTAGAAAAACCGAAAGGCCGTAGGCCCCGTATAATTGTAAAAGACGTACCCGGTTCTATGGAAGATCGTGCCTTCCTAACAGCCTTATACCGTCAGAATATCAAGGACGAATTAAAATTAAGTGAGAACGATTTTATTAAGTCAGCCAAAATTGTTAGGCATCGTAAACTAGAAAATGGGCGTCAATGGATAGGCTTAGAATTAGAGGCAGCAGTTCGGAAACATCTAGCCAACACAAAAGATAAACTTTATATAGACTGGGCCACATGTAGATTCATAGACGATATAGAAGTAGTTCGTTGCTTAAATTGTCAGCAATTCGGTCATGTACAAAAGTTTTGCACCATTAAAACCCCTACTTGTGCTAATTGCGCCGCCGCACACGAAACGCGAGCTTGTCCAGATAAAGACACACCAGATTTTAAGCCCACGTGCGCACAGTGTAAGCGGTTCAAAAAACCATCTGACCATCGATGCGGCTCATACGACTGTGCCACATACAAATTAAAACTGGAACAGCTAATATTAAATACCAATTACTGAATAGTTTAACTTAGTTTAAAAAAAAAAAAAAAAAAAAAAAAAAAGTTTAAAGAGTAACTTACTAAGTAATGAATAATATTTCGATAGGCCAGTTAAATCTTCATAACGATAAAATAGCTACATCAGAATTAGACCGTTTAATTTTAGAACAAAAGTTAGACATTGTCCTTTTACAAGAACAATATCAGAGCGCTCACTTGCGTCGTAATGTAGTACAGCTTGACTGCCGTTCGCAGGCTGGGATATATGTTGCAAGTTCTAATTTTACGGTAACATCTTTGCGTAATCTTATGACGTCACACTGCGCCGTTGCTGAGATCTCATCCTCTACCTGTAAGGTTTACGTAGTGAGCTGCTATTTTCAATATTCACATCCTATTGATCCTCACTTACATCACTTACGTTACGTCTTGCAGTTCCTCGTGGGACATAAAATTATCATTGGCGCTGATGTCAATGCGTCATCTTCATTATGGTATGGCAAGTTGCGTTCAACCGACACGGTTCGACGTTGTGCGGTTGAAGATTTCATTGCGGAAATGAATCTTATTATTCACAATACCCCCGATGCACCACCAACTTTTTGCAACCCAATGGGTGAGTCTTCTATTGACGTGACGCTTACGCGCGGCGACGTCTCGATATCCGGATGGCGTGTCCTTCCGGACGCATCCTGTAGTGATCACCGCTTGATCGTGTACGAATTCATACCAAGGGTTGCACAGGATCCACAAAAGGCTCCCTATAATTTTAGATATAAAACTAAAGGTGCGAACTGGGCTTTGTTTGGTTCACTCTTTGCAACTCATACCAAAGACTTCAGTCGCAGTAGTTTATCAGCTGAGGAAAGCGCAGAAATACTATCAGAAACTTTTACATACTGCGCTGATGTAACTATTGGTCGCGGATCTATCACTAACACTCGTAGATGTGATTGGTGGAATGATAGATTAGCCGAACTACGTAGAAGCTACCGGAAAGCTCGTAGAAAATTAAACACTATTAAAAAACATAACGTAACAGGAGATTTGTACAACAATGCTCTCATTGCTCTTAGAGTTGCCAGGTCCCACTACAGAGCTGCTGTGGAAAAATCCAAGGGAAACTTAATTCAGAAACTTGTTGATAAACTCGATAGAGAGGGCCCGTGGTCACCTTTGTATCACGAATTTAAAGCAAATAGATCAATCGACCTTGCATACATACAGAACATCAAAATTAATAACAGATATACCACAGGAGTAGAACAAACAGCAGAATATCTTTTAGACTCACTCGTACCTGACGATCGACCGGAGAACGACACTGATCATCACCGACAGATCAGGCAGTGGGCCATCGAACCACCACTATCTCCAATGTCTGATTTACCATCTTCAGACGAATTTCTCGGTATCATTAGATCCTTGCCGCTAAACAAGGCTTCGGGCGATGATAAAATATCTAACAAAATGATAAAAGAAGCTTGTAAACTTTCGGGTGACACGATTTTCACTGTCTTTAAACGTTGCATTGCTGAAGGAATATTTCCTCGTATATGGCGGTGCGGTAATATTCGTATAATACCAAAAAGTGGCGACAAGCCACCGGATGATCCTAAATCCTACCGACCAATCACATTGTTACCATCGTTGGGAAAGCTTTTAGAACGTCTTGTAGTGCCCCGGCTTCTGCCAGGTGGAGTCAAATTTCATGATAGACAATTTGGATTTACGTTGGGTAAATCGACAACTGACGCTGTTATATCGGTTAGAAAGTTTGTCACAGGGTCAAAATTTCAATACGTGCTGGCTATTTTCTTAGATATATCTGGCGCCTTCGACAACGCATGGTGGCCCATGCTGTTGCTGAAATTAAAATCACGGGGGTGCTTTAAAAATATTTATTCCCTTATCTCTTCGTACTTTTCACAAGGTACAACTAAACTAAGACTTGGTCATCATTCTGTGTCGAAGGCGCTTACAATGGGATGTCCTCAGGGATCGGTGCTAGGTCCATACTTGTGGAATATCGGCTTCGACGATTTTCTTGCGATACCAATACCATCCGGATGTACTCTGAACGCGTATGCTGATGACGGCTTATTACTGGTGGAATCTGATACTAGGGCGGGGCTTGAGAGATTAGCCAATAGATGTTTGAACTTGATATCTCAATGGGGTGAACGTAATCGCTTAACTTTTGCACCCAACAAAACCTTCCAGCTACTTTTAAAAGGTAACCTCAAATCACCGCCGAGCATTAGATTTAACAATGTTACTGTAAAAAATAAAACCACAGTGTGTTATCTAGGATTAGTTTTAGAAAGAAACTTTTCATTTATCGAACATATTAAAATAGTTAATGAAAAGTCTAAAAAGAGTTTCTGTGCATTGACAAGGATATCAACTGCGACATGGGGTCTATCATTTAATACATTAAAGATCATATACGGAGCTACTTATTTAGGTTCTATGTGCTATGGTGCACCTGTATGGGCCGATAGGGCGACCGTAGGCGCTGTCCGTCGCAAACTGTTACAAGGCCAACGACTTGCACTGATATTCTTGTGTAAGGCATATAGGACGGTTAGCACTGAGGCTTTGCCGGTGTTGGCGGGTGTGCTTCCGGTCGATCTCGAGGTGCAGAGACGTGCAGCCATGTACTATTCAAGACAACAAAACATGGAATGCGATTTTTTGATCGCGGTAAAATTACAAGATTGCTTCAACAGCAGCCCGATGTCTATAACGACCTCATAGACGAATGGCAACAACGCTGGGATGAATCATCCAAGGGGCGCCATCTTTACCAATTCTTTCCATCTGTTCGCGAACGGTTGTCGAGGATATGGCTTGAGGTGGATCACTGTGTCGCTCAATTTCTTACGGGTCATGGTAACTTTAAGAGCAAGCTTTATTCATTTAAATTAGTCGAGTCACCATTGTGTCAATGCTCAACACCTAACTCTCACTATGAACAGTCTGCTCATCATATCCTCTGGGAATGTAGTCTTTGGTATAATGAACGTAATATAATGCTGAATAGCTTGCAGGTGACATCTGGGGCGGTATACTATGGGGATCTTGTGTCAACTAGGGTGAATTTCCGTGCGTTTAGGCGATTCTGCCATACATATTATAGAAATCAAACATAGCTTACGTAGGACCCGTAATATTTGTGGCCGTGGTGCTTCCCTGTTTAAAAGGGTGTATGCCCATTTTTACTTCATTTTGTCTCCCGCTTTGCTAAGGAGGGAAGTGGATTTACTGTATTTCCAACTCCTCCAATTTTCTTCTGATTAATTTCGTTGCGGGTTCCAAGACAGTTTAATTTCTTCCTGGGACTTCCCGAGTGTCATAACTCGGTGTGTTCGTGGGTCACTGCTGTGGATCCTGGTGTACAGGAGTTACAGTGGTGGGCGTGTGGGTGGGATTAGTCCCAATACCAACCCGTCTGTCCAGCGTGATATAGTAGGCCAAAACCTCCTTTCTAAGGTAAATAACCTATCTTTGATTCCTTTTCTTCCGGACAGTGTTATTTATTATCTAAACAGGTAACTTGTACTACTGCATTCTACGCATGTAAAGAAATGCAGAATGTGTGAAATAGCTGCAGCATAGAGGTCCAGAATAGAGAATAGTAACAAAATGAATGGTTTCTGGTAGAATTTCATTTGTTACGAAATTCGTTGTTACGTTTGTAAAGATGATAAAATATACACCAGTATTCTAAATAAATTCGTCTGCAACACTAGTTACTTACGATGATATTTTTGATTTACAACTTACTATTATTATAATGCAAATTTTTTGATATTTGTTTGTTACTCAGACATGCAAAAATTATTGAACAGGTCTGAATGAAATTCGGAACAAAAATTGATAACAGTCTAAATTCAAAAGCAGGCTACTTTTAACCCGGATAAATTGACTGTCGTAATCGATGTAAACGCAAGGTAAACATCAGGTAAGAACCAGTGTTCCTTAATAGTTGTTCCTTTTTGATAGATTAAAAACTACGCAGAACAAGAGCACTGCAGAGAGAAGGAATACTTGACACAAACCCTATACCAACCCGTCTGGTCAGCGTGGTATAGTAGGCCAAAACCTCCTTTCTAAGGAAAGCCTTATGTCCAGCAGTGGACCATTAAAGGCTGTTGATGTGATGATGTGAAGTTGTTCCTTTTAGATATATCGAAGGAAAGTTTAATCAGACTATGTGACTAAGCCTAGCGGACTGTGTGGAATGCCATTTAGGATTAGCAGTAATATATGTAGTTTTATTTATTTTATTTATTAGTTAGTATTTTATATATAGTAGTAGTTAGTATAGTAGTTAGTATGTTATATTAGTATTTATTAGTTTTATTATATTTCCTTTTCAACTTATGTCGTTTATATATTCAACATCAACACAATTTTCTAAGAAAACGCAACCAAATCTAAACAATGACATTTGAAATTATTTAAGTTTGAACTTTATTGTTCAACCACTTAAAAGGTATTATCGACTGGCACACTATACAGTGCACTTTATTCATTTTATGGATCAAGACGGTTATTGTCTAACAGACTCTCTACAATGACATAGAGGAGCTTGTCTTATTAGGGAGGTTTCCGCGTCGAATTCCCTGTTTAGTTTCTCCTTTGCTTACTTAACACGTTACTTTAAGTTTATATTTCTATTTTTATTTGTAATAAAACAGATAAGACTTTATCCATATATCAATTTGAATGAAAATGGTGATGATTGAAATCAAAGAATATAAATCTACTCGTTTTATAAAGTTTTTTATGCTCCAAAATCAAGTTATTGTAGTAATTATGTATACATTTTAATAAAAGTAGGTATTTTATCTGTAATATGTATGTATTTATAAATATATAAATATGTTTATCAGCGGTCTGGTTACCATAGTACAGGCTCTGCCTAGTTTGGGATCAGACGGCCGTGTGTGAGTGTGTGAGATATATTATTATTATAATTTGCTTCAGGTCATAGCTAGCCTGAACTATTCAAATTGTTTGAACTTCTAAAGTTAAATCAGATTTCGTAAATATAATTTTGGTTGTCTAAAAAACAATATTTATATAAAAACCTTACCTGGGGAACAATTCGCGTGAATAGCAACTATCGCTGCGTATTTACTGGGGTCAGCGACCAATGACCACGGACTCAGGCCAGACCCTGACATGAGGATAGCTCTATGGAAAAGGAGACCTGGAACAAGAAAAATAAACGATAAAGTTTTGCTTTCTGTAATCCATACTAATATTATAAACGCGAAAGTGTGTCTGTCTGTTACCTCTTAACGCTTAAACCACTGAACCGATTAGGATGTTTGGTATGGAGATAGTTTGAATCTCGGGGAACGACATAGGCTACTGTTTACCGATTAGTATTTATTATATGTTACACAAAAGCATATACACATCTCACTAAGTGAATGGTTAATCAGTGTTGAAATTTCAATTCATTACGCATAGCAAATAAGCATCTACGCGAATATAAATATTTTTATTTATTATACCAACAATATGTTTTCGTTGCAAGTATTTAAAATTAAATATATTAGTCTAAAAAAATACCTTAAAAACTATTGTTATCATATAGGTAAACAGACTACCTAACTATTCACAGTCGTAATCAGAGAGCGTCACTCATCTGCCAATACGCATAGGACGATATTAGTGGTACTCGATAATTTGGGACATTTATTTATTTACGCAGGTCACCAGCACTGCAAAAAGAAGGAAAACTTGACACAAACCCTATACCAACCCGTCTGGCCAGCGTGGTGTAGTAGGCCAAAACCTCCTTTCTAAGGAGAGGCCTATGTCCAGCAGTGGACTATAAAAGGCTGATGATGATGTGATGTGATGATGTGATTTATTTAAAACTCAATGCACATGTTGTACAAAGGCGGAATTAATGCCATTAGGATTTCTCTAAAAGTCAACCATCAGGTGATGTAGAAATATGATGCGGTAGGTGCAAAATAAAATTTAAAATTTAACATAATTGAAGTACAGAGACATACACTATGTATAAACATAATTAAAAATACATACATAAATTGAATAAAATATATAAATACTCAGTCGGGTACTAGCGTTGTGACTGTTCTGCCAATGCACTCTTAAGAAGATCGCGCACTTTTCTCTTAAATGGAAGGCGGTTTCTGGACATCCTGATTTCAGCAGGAAGGGCATTCTAAAGAAGAACTGACTGGACGTAGAAGGAGGAGTTGATGTAGTTGGAGGTGTGAGGAGGACATAGTAGAAGCATATTGTTGCTTGACCGAAGATATCGGTCGTGATTCGGACATTATGGCAGTGTATTGCTTACGCATAACCTCAGTAACTGTCTAGCGTTGGCACTAACAACTAAGGCACTACAACGTCGGGGCTATCATCGATCTATTATAAGCTAACGATTCTATTATTGATTATAATTGCCCAATTGATTATAAACCCATCGAAATGCCAAGCGATCATCATAGGAAGTCCGAGAATGACAAGCAGAATTGATCTTGATAATATTACTGGCATCATCTTTAATGACACCGTTTTGCCTGTTAGCACATCGGTCAAGGATCTCGGTCTGCACATCGATGCGACTCTGAACTGGCAAACTCAGGTAACTAGTGTCAGTCAGAGGGTTACGAATATTTTACGAGGATTCTATCGCCTTAAAAATTTCCTCTCAATAAAAACAAAGACGATGCTTGTGCAGAGTTTAATTTTTCCACTTATCGACTATGGTGATGTGTGTTATCTCGACTTGAATGCAGATCTGCTCAATAAATTAGACCGACTTCTCAACAATTGCATTCGATTCATTTTCAACCTGCGAAAATACGATCACATATCCGCTTGCCGTACACAACTGTCATGGTTACCTATAAGACAGCGCCGCAGTTCGAGAGCTCTGACTGTGTTACACTCTCTTCTCCACTCATCTAACTCACCTACCTACTTGAAATCCCACTTTCAATATCTCTGCTCTAATCATGACAGAACTCTTCGGTCTTCCAACAATCTTCTCCTTCTTTGTCCTTCACATAATTCCAGTATGGTCCATTCTTCCTTCCCTTCCAAGCTGTAACTCTTTGGAACACACTCCCACTAGAAATCGGGATGTCCACTAACCGATACACTTTTAAGCTTAAATTACGGAAGCTCTATAGAGACTTGTTGACGGAGTCATCAGAATAACACCATATATATTATAATATTTATTATCATATATATTATAATATATTACTCGTATATATTTTTTGTCATTTATTATGATATTTATATGTATAAACTATATGTATGTATATCTAGTACTTATATATCTGTAGGATTTGTTCTTTTCTGCCATTGTAACATGGCTTTATAGCCAGATGAGACTCATCTTTACCTGTCCCAAATATACAACTGCCACACACAGCTTTGCAACACCCAAAGGTTTGACTGGAAGAAAATACCTGAGGCATTAAGTCCGCCTTATACAATATGTTTGCAGGAAGACTCAATAAATAAATAATTATAGTGTAAGTAAAAACAAATCATACAGCTTGAAGATATCATCAAAATGAAATCATATCTGAAAGTGACTAAGAGATAGACCATATCGATTGTTCTTTATAATAAACTATTTTACAGAGGTCAGTGATCCTTAAAAAACGGCTCGAAATTTATTCTATCAAAAAATTACTGTTTCCATGTCAATCTACTTCTAAACCGATAACGCATTTTTAATTTCATCCATTACTTGACTATCTGATGGCTTTCCATAAAATAATAAACTATTTAGAATCATCATCTATCATCATCAACAGCCTATAATAGTCTACTGATGGACATAGGCCTCTCCTTAGAAAGGAGATTTTGGCGTGCTATACCACGCTGGCCAGACGGGTCAGTATAGGGTTTGTTTTTGCAGTGCTGTTGTCCTGTGCAGTTTGTTCCCTTAGTCGGCTCTTACGACACCCACTGGATGAATAGTGGTGTAGTTTATATTTAGAATAAACTACTAAAACAAAATAAAATGTTCGACAGATCACTTAAACTTGATCTCCCATCAGCATCTCGAACGTTAAACAACTAAGCGTCAACGTTTTAAGCCGGAGCACTCGCTAGGGAAATCTTGTTCAGTGTAGTAGTACGCTTCACTTGTCAACACTTTAAATAGTTGGTACTGTCTGTTTCAGTGAGTACTACATGCTAAAATGGTGAACGGAGATATTACTGATATTCTAATACAATATTGTCGTCTGTGCTCCAGTATATGTAATATGAAGAATATGCTTTTCAGAAAACGTGTCTTGAATAGAGGTAATTCAAATAGTGTGTTTTGAAAATTATTTTTTTAATAAAAGATCTACGAGTATTTGTTAAGATACTTTGATAACGTAAAATGTAAATCTTCAAAACTTAAAATATAGATGTAGTTACACATATTAATAATAACATTTACATATCTCACACACAGCAGTCTGGTCCCAAACTAGGCAGAGCCTGTATTATTCAAACTCAAACTATCTTTTTTTATAAAGAAAAAATAAAATTGTTTGAAATTGTCTTTTATGTAGACTCTAAAGTCGTTGATCAACACACACAATAGCAACAATTTCTGTTTTCTCAATTAGCAAGCAAAATAAATATAACTTATAAAAAAACTATGATAAGCCTGTGCAGATCTACAAACAAGTTCCAAGGGGTAGAGATTTATGACAAGAAAGGGCAAACAAACTCATTGCCACTCTTTTGCAATTTAAAGATAGATACAATGGTATTATTAAATATACCACAACATTGTTTTGATGTGTGCTTTGTTAAAAGGTGAAAAGACAATAAACAGAAATAAAAAAAAAAAACACACTGGCCCACATCACATTTTTACTTAAGAAATAGCCTGCGCTAAATTTCTGACATAATTTACGTTTTATTGTGAATTTAAATTGGTTAATATTTAAGTCTTGAATATTATTTGGGATTTTATTATAAAATCGGACACATTGAACTCGAAAACACTTGTTTATCTTCTGTTGTGTTTGATACTACAAGTTTATTTATATTTCTGGTATTTATAGAATGTACATCATATATCACGTACATTGACTTGGCATTGTTATTGTATTTCATTAAATTTCTGCCTCAATGAACGATTGCCTAAATTATAAATTTGCAGTACAAAAATAGTAATAGTAATAGTAAAAAATAAAACAAAATCTACTTTTCACTCGTATGCCAATTTTTATAATTACAGATATAGAATTAAAAAAGTTATGTCAAAAAAAAACATAATTAGTTCAATAAATGTCAGATCCGACACTATTCTAAGACTATGACGACTTGGTCGCCCTTTGAGCTCCCCGCCCTAGAATCAGGAGAGAGAGGGGTTTGGGCTCTGAAAACCTCTCATGCAATGAAAGAACTGCTTAACACCGGTTTTCTGTGAGGCCGTGGCATCACTCTGGTTGATCCGGCCTGTTTGTGCCCAAGTATGAATAACTTCATAAATCACTACCTTTTTTCTAGAGCTTTTTTAATCTCAAAAATAACCAATTTGCTATTAAATTAACGAATCCCGGCAAAATGTTTCGCTAAAATAAATTGCGTTTGCATCTTAGTTACTTGCTCGACGTTTTTAAATTTTGTGTGCTACAGCGAGGAAAATATTTTCTAAGTTATGTATAAAAATGCAGTATATTGTTATGAAGGCAACGTTTTTGTAAATTACAGTAAGTGAAAGGTTCGTAAAGTAAATTGCATTTTAAATCCAAGCTTTTAAGCTATTGTGAGTGTTTTATAAATCAATGATGTTTTTTTTATGTAGCGAGGGCAGACGAGCAGACGGGTCATGTGATGGTAAGTGACCATCGCCGCCCATGAACGTCTGCATGAACGTCTGATGCGTCATTAATCACAAACGCGTTGCCGGTCTTTTACGAAGGATTACCTTCTTTTCCTGAAGGTTTGAAAGTCGTATCGGTCCGGTTAATTTTCTCCTTTTCTTTGCGATTCTTTATAGTAATTTTTTTTAAAAGGTCTACCAGCTACCCAAATTAATAGAATTCCCGTTAACCCCTCCCGCTAAGCTAAATTGCTTGTGTTAGGAGTGGGTTCACGTCGGTAGTGTACTGGTCAGGATTCGAACCCACGACCTTTTTGATCGCAAGTCTAATGCCTTAATCACTCACAC